AGGGAGCCCGATGCGGGACTCGATCCTGGGACTCCAGGATCATGACCTGAGCCAAAGGCAGTCGCTTAACCAACTGAGCCACCCAGGCGCCCCCAAATTTTATTTCAAATGAAAAATGTATCTGTGGTTGATTTGTTTTTCCCTATTCGCTCTCTAGGTAAATATTATGAGTATAAGTGCTTATGAGGATAATTGCATAGGAATAGAATTTCATGGGTTTTGTCTATTTTTGCTTTAGATTAGTAGTGGTAGAATTACTGTGGTTTAGTTAATTAAAATTTATTGATATTTTATTGTCACTGTTTATTGTGTTCAGCTAAAGTTCTTTATTTTCTCAATCCATTTATATTCAGTTATTTCTTACTGTGTTTGGTTTTTCTTTGTGGAACCTCTTATTCCTGTACATTGGTGGAAATGGCAGATTTTTCTTTTCAGAGTTGAGGAAGATCAAAGAAGCAGGTTTTGGAAAGGGAAGTATAGGAGGAACATCAGTTTCAAATGACTGTTTCTGTCCAAATTAGATATGTGTATTTCAGGGCAGGGGTTTGGACTGTTTAGAAAAATTTAGGAGTAGATAGCATATAGACCTTAGTTGAAGTTGAGTGACAAGATGAGATCACCTCAGTGAGTATAAATGGAGATGAGAGGAGGTATAAGAACTAAGCTCTTGACATTCCAGTGTTTAGAGGTTGGGAGATGAAGAAGAGAGACCAAAGAAAGAGCAGCTCTTATATGTCAACTATACTTCAATAATAAGAAAAACAATAAATAAGTATATGAAACAAAAAGAAAAGAAAGAGCAGCTTTTCTGGTAGAAAGTCTGGAGATTCTGTTATCTTAGATGTCAAGTAAAGAGGATTTTGCAAGGAGGGAATAATCAACCCAATTCTGTTTATGTATCAGATGCTGCTATTTTGTTCAAGTAAGATGGGAGACAAATATTTAATAACCTGAAGATTATTTGTGACCTTGACATGGGGTGGTGGAATTGAAAACCTAATTGAGATTGGGTTTCAGAGAAAATGGGAGGAGAATTGGAAATAATAAAATAGAACTTTTGCCCCAAGTTTGCTTTAAAAGAGAGCACAAAAATTCACTGTAGAAGATATTATTTGGAAGTTTATATTAAATAAAACTTTTAAGAATTTTTCTGGAAATGTCTTGTTAATCATGACACATTTTCCTGATATGCCTTGTGAGGTTGAGAATTTTTATATGTTTATTGGTCATTTGTATTTCCTTATCTATAAATTGCCTGTTCATCTACTTTGCTCATTTTGCTAATGGATATATTGTCTTTAATTAATCTGTAGGAATTTTTGTTTTGTTTTAAATATTCTTATAGAGCCAGTAATTTCAGACAGGGAATGGGCAAACTATAACCTATAGGCTCTGTTTTTGTCAATAGAGTTTTATTGGAATAGAGCCACATCTATTTGTTTACATACTACGTATTGTTTATCACTGATTCCCACTACAAGGACAGAGTTAAGTAGTTGCAACAGAGACCATATGGCCCACAAAACCGAAAATATTTTTTGAGTCTTAACAAAAAATGTTTGCCAGCGTCTAATCTAAGGTGACACTTTATTTTTGTCCATATTTCATAGGAATAATGAAAATGGGAAACTAACTCCCTATTGTCCTCTACAATACACTTTTTCCACCTTTATTTTATGAAATCTTATTTAAGATAGTAGTCATCAGATAGATATTAAACATCTACTTTGTCTCAGCTCTTTCCCCAAGTTTTTAGGATTACCAAAGTTACAAGATATGGTGTCTGTTCTTAGTGAGCTTATTGTCTAGTCTGGTTGAAAGGAAAGAATGCCACACATAGAACTGTATATGAAAATGGGCTAATTTGCGATAAGTCTGTACTCAAGACTAGAGGAATTAAAGCAGAAACTGTGAATGAAGACAGATTCTAAAAAAGACAGTCTTAACCTAAGTATTTGGATGAGTTTCAGGTGTTCCATGAACTACTTGAAATTATATATAAAAATGTCTATGTGTGTGGGCCTTTCGTTATTATTCTGGGTTTAAGCAGGTCCACTCTCAGATTCTCTAGAGGCTTTTTGTAAAACAAAAAATTAAATATAGGACCTTGTTCCTTTTTGTAGAATCTGTTAATAATACCATTTTTCTTATTCCAAAGTTCTTTCCATTGAATAAAACTCACGTACAAAGTTTAATCCAATGTGTCTATTTTAAAATTCCAGTAAGTGTTTTAAAGTGTTGAGAATCTAGCCATATCTTTCAGGCATATCTGGAAAATGGGAATTGGGTGATAGGAGGAGGTTTTTAAGAAAATGGAGGAAGCTCAAGCTAAGTTTGACATATCTGTAAGAGGAGAGGGAGCTAACATATGCGTAAAAGAGACAGCTCAAACCAAATTGGCAGGCCAGTTGCTCTGTTGTATTATGGCTGATCTGGCTTGTAGTTACCTTAATTGGAGCCATAGCTAATTTTGTTCTTTGGGTGGTATCATAATTTGCCAAATAAAGACTATTAAACCTTCATCTCAAGCAACCCAGTTATTCTATGACTCTGGAGACTCTTGGGACTAGGAAACTCAGGAGTCACCACCCTCAGTATTAAAATCAGGAGGATTTATAAAACTATATGTAGAGGGGCGCCTAGGTGGCTCAGTCGTTAAGCGTCTGCCTTCGGCTCAGGTCATGATCCCGGGGTCCTGGGATCGAGCCCCGCATCCGGCTCCCTGCTCAGCGGGAAGTCTGCTTCTCCCTCTTCCACTCCCCCTGCTTGTGTTCCCTCTCTCTCTGTGTCTCTTTCTGTCAAATAAATAAAATCTTAAAAAAAAAAAAACTATAGAAAAAAATGGTTTGTAATGAGTTTGTGATCTACAAGGGAGCAAAACATTTTCATTTCATTGAAACTGAAGTTGAGGGATGGAATCTTAAAATATTTCTAATGAGCATAGTAAATGGAAAGTTAATTTTCTGATACTCATTTATTTTTATTTATTTTTAATACTTCTTTATTTTAAAGCTTAAAAATAGTTTTAGTAGTGGTGCCTGGCTGGCTTAGTCTGTAGAGCATGTGAACTTCTGATCTCATGAGTTTCAAGCCCCACATTGGGCGTGGAGCTAACTTAAAAAAAAAAAGTTTTAGTAATCTTTATGTGCTGTTTTGTTTTGACTGTTGTCATGTTTTACAGCTTTACTGTTTTACCTTAGTGTAAAGAAAAAAAAAAATTTTTTTTAAAGATTTTATTTATCTATTTGACACAGGGAGAGAGACAGCTAGAGAGGGAACACAAGCAGAGGGAGCGGGAGAGGGAGAAGCAGGCTCCTGGCCGAGCAGGGAGCCCAATGCGGGGCTTGATCCCAGGACCCTGGGATCATGACTTAAGCCAAAGGCAGATGCTTAACGACTGAGCCACCCAGGTGTCCTGAAAATATTTTTAAGAACCTTAATAGTTTCATCAATGAGCCTGGTAATCTGCCTGTTTTCACCTAAAAGGTCTTTCCAGTTATTTTAGCCTTGACTTCTACCATAAGGGCTGTTGGGATTAAACCTTGTTGTTTGGAGAAGAAATGCCATATCAAAATCTTTATATAATGTTTATTCCTTGTGATTACGTATTTAATTTTGGTTGTAGAATATAATGAAACAGCATGCCTTATTGAAACCCCTGGGGAGCCAGTTGCAGTGATGTAAGGGGAAAAAATAGAAACCCAAACATACTAGTGATTTGTTCTTCTCCCCCAGTTAATGATTAGGTTAGTTGAGGAGGTAATAGATTGACTATTCTGGTACATGTGGGGTTTTATTTATTGTAACAATGCAATTATATAGACATTTTTAGCAGTATTTTTTTGGTAGCACTCTGTTATATTTTATATGCCTTGTGAAAATTACTTAAATGTTTTTGAACATTGGACTTTCCTCATGTATGTGATGGCAGAAATAATGTTTATAGTGTAGGATTATGCTAAGGATATAAAGTAATGTATGTCATGCGCTTAACTCTTGTTGGCACTGGCATCAGTTAACTATTAAGTTAAACTTTTGTTATCTTTATGATAGTTTTTACATTTCTATGTTATGAACTATCTCATAACCATTAAAGTAACATAATGATTTAATGTGGCTAAAATGTTAGATGTTTCAAATTTGGCAGTACTTTGTATTTTTTTTTGTAATTGTCAAAACCTCTACAGTATTTTAGGTTTTGGGTTTTTTTTTTAAGATTTTATTTATTTATTTGTCAGAGAGAGAGAGCACAAGCAGGGGGAGCTGCAGGTAGAGGGAGAAGCAGGCTCCTCGCTGAGCAAGGAGCCGGATGCGGGACTCGATCCCAGGACCCCGGGATTATGACCTGAGCTGAAGGCAGATGCTTAACGACTGAGCCACCCAGGCACCCCAGTATTTTAGTTTTAATAATTGAATGTAATGGAATCCAAATGCTTTACAATAGGTTTTATTAATCTACTGTTGGCAGTAAATTACTAAGTAAGATTCTTTGTTTTAAAATTTATACTATTAATTTTTTTCCATGTTTAAGAGCTTTTTATGAATTTGGAGGAACATTTGAAAGTGGATTTGGTCATTCATTTCTACCAGTCCATGCTATGTTCCCTTTTTATTCCTAAAATTTCACGTTTTGGGACTGATTTTATAAAAGTTTATTCACTGGATTGTTAACACCAGAATTGTAAATTATAATGAACTGCAGTGAATTCTGATGGAAGTAAGATTTCCTTTTCTTTGTTACAGCAGAAGTAGGAACTCATGAAAAGAATAGCAAACCTGAGGAAGAAGAGCAAGTAGTAAATGAAGATGAAAGACCTTCTGAGAAAAGTAAGCATGTACAAAAAACCTGAACTAGTTTAGAAAAATAGTTATTCATTGTTTATTCTTTTAAGGCTGTGAAATATATTTCCTTTCCTGAGATGATTTTAAAATTTTGCAGTTTATGTAAAACACAGTTAAATCATTTTGTTGATAACTAACCTAAGGATTTTTGAAAGTATTATTTCATATACTTCAGTATTTTATTTTGTTTATTTATACTTTTCATTGTTTTATAAGAAAGATTTATGCTTAATATTTAATAAGGTACTGTCTGAATGTCTTGAGATAAATGGTTTTCGATTTATGTTGAGAGCATGGTGCTATAAGAATTTTGTCGGGGGTGGTATAAGTTAATGAAAATTACGTGTCTGTCTCCTTAGGTTCCTAAGCTTCATGGGAAAGGGGACTTGATGGGCCTGGGTGTTGTTAGGTTTATAAGATTATCATTGGACTAGAAGTCAGGAAACCTAGGTTCTGTATCTGTCCTTGTCATTCTGGTTTCCGTGTATGACTATAAGTCATGATTATAAGAGAAGTCATGGAGTAGAACTGGATTTTAAAAGTAGGCACATAGATATATGGGTATAGAGAAAAGCAAAGAGGGATACTTATGGTTACATAAGGACAGTTTCCCTTTAATAAGTGGAGATTTTAGTATTTTTACATTTTATATATTGAAAAAGAAACCAGATAAAATTTGCTTATAATCTCATGAATGTTACCAGTATTTGAAATACAAATTTTCTAAGTGAAGATCTTTGAATATCTTTACCAAATTTACTTTTATAATGACATAAATTTTATTATTTTTATTTGAAATTCATTAGGATATGTTAAGAAAAACTAGCCTTGGGTGCCTGGGTGGCTCAATCAGTTAAGTGTCTGACTTGTGATTTTGGCTCCAGTCCTAGTTTGAGGGTCATAATCCAAGGGTTTTGGGATAGAGCCCTATGTCGGGCTCTGAGCTCAGCGGGGAGTTGTCATGAGATTCTCTTACTCTCCCTCCGCCCCTCCCCTGTGCAGACTCGTGAGTTTTTCTCTCTCCCAAATAAATAAATCTTTTTTTAAAAAAAAAAAAAGAATAACTAGTCTTATGTTATTTTCCTAAGGCTAATGATTAAGACTTTTTTCTAAATTCTGAAAAAAATGTATTTAGAGGAAGAATTAATTAAAACTATGTACAGTTGTTAGATATCTGTGACATGAGAATGAATATTATATTTTGTCAGAGGATTCATGTGCACTATAAAATTTAGCAAAGGGAATGAACATGAGATGATCTCTTCTCATCTCATATTCATATTTTAGGTGATTCTCCATCTTAATATGATTTCAAGGAAAGAATGTTTTATGTGCACATTATACATTGCTTAGCCATGAGGGAGTTCTTGTTTAGCATTTGAAAATCATTTCAAGATCAAAGTTTAAAAGCTACCTATCCATTTTTCTAATCTCAAAAATAATCATTAAATAACTGATTGAGAATGATATTGGATAGCTAGGAATAATATTTTGCTGAGAATGGAACACAGGCATTAGGGTCTGTGATAAAAACCTGACTAATCATTATTCTTTTTGTCCTCAGGTGAATTTTCCAGAAGAAAACGTTCTAAATCAGAGGATATGGACAATGTACAGTCCAAACGTCGTCGATATATGGAAGAAGAGTATGAAGCAGAATTTCAAGTGAAGATTACAGCCAAAGGAGATATTAACCAGAAGCTACAAAAGGTGTTACAAATTATAAGTTAAAAACCATATTAAATAAAAAACTGACCATCTTTGTTCTTCTAGGTTTTTGACATTATATTTTACTGACATATTTAGGTTTTTCATAGAGAGAACTTGAAGGAAGTGGGTGAGCTTATTATTCTTAATAATTTAATTTTTAGAACTTTCTGATTCTTTTTAAAAGAGTTTTCAGATTTTATTTTTTCTTTTATATTGAACTTTATTCCATGGAAATATTAGAGTCTTGTATTTTAACTTTTTTTTAATATGTTAACATTTTAATCTTTATTATAAGCTGGTTTCATGATTGTAAGTTCCTACATTGTAAATCTTTGTTATGTTGTTTAGGCTTACTATTAAAAATAGTAGGGACAGGGCTTTAGGATGACTAGGGAAGGGGACTATTTAAAATACAGACTTTGGTAACATCTGCCTATGTCTATTAGAGTTAGAAATATTGAAAATATGTAGTATTTAATATATTTTTCAAAATGTGTTAACAGATGTGTATGGCAGATGCCTTTTTAAGAAGAATATGAAAGGCGAGTGAAATTAATTTTTTAAGGCCTTATAGATTTAATAATGAAATTATAAATAATCTAGGTTTTAGATTATTCCACTAAGACACAGTATAAATACATTAGAAAAAGGCAATTAATTAGGCAATAAAAAAGTGTCATTTTTCTTTCCCAGCCTTTTTTACTTGTCATATGGAGGTAATAATGTTTATTTAGTCCTTTTTATAGAGCTGTTATAAATATGAAGATAGGTATGTGAGTTTTTTAACTCCTATGTGTACTCAGAATGTATTTCTCTGGAACAGTGTTACTCAAGTATGGACTGTGGACATGTACCATGTATTCTATTTGTTATAGATCCATAATAAGATAAATAATGTAAATTGTAAGTAGGCATTTAGAATTTTTTTTTTTTTTTAAGATTTTATTTATTTATTTGACAGAGACAGACACAGCGAGAGGGAATACAGGCAGGGGGAGTGGAGAGGGAAAAGCAGGCTTCCTGTGGAGCAGGGAGCCCGATACGGGGCTCTATCCCAGGACCCTGGCTGGGATCATGACCTGAGCCAAAGGCAGACGCTTAACGACTGAGCCACCCAGGCACCCCAGCATTTAGAAGTATTTTATAGAAATTTCATAGTGTAGTGATATTCTTAGTGTCTCACAAAAATATCATTTGCAACAGATTAGAAATTTTAAAAACTGATCCTTTAACTGGTTTCCTTTGAATCACAGTAGAAGGTATGAGAAATAAATATTAAAACTTGAATATAAAATTATTTATGAAATTTTCTGTTTTTAGTATAATTCTGTCATAGTAGACATATATGTAGAAGTAGAGGCTTTCAGCAGATACTGTGTTATGAATGCCAGCTTGTTTTCTCATTAAACTAATCAATATATTGGTACTGTCTTATTAGTCCTTAAGAATATTTACTCTTTGCTGCTTGCTGAAATGCCTTCTTTGACTGTAACAAAGAAATATATATCTCCTTAGGTTGTACAGTGGTTGCTGGAAGAAAAATTGTGTGCACTACAATGTGCTGTATTTGATAAGACTTTGGCAGAATTGAAAACACGAGTGGAAAAGATTGAATGTAACAAGAGGCATAAAACAGTTATTACTGAACTGCAGGTTCGTATACCGATTTGAATTGTATACCCATGTGTCATTATTTTTATTACTTATTTTTGGGGATACATTTTCAAAGTTGATAATAAATTACATTTAACTTCTAAATATTAGAAGTAGAAGGAGTCACGATTAGTTTGCTAGGGCTGTCATAAAAAAAGTACCATAAACTGGTAGCTTAAACAACAGGGAAGTACTGTCTCATAGTTCTGGAGGCTAAAAGTCTAGCACCAAGGTGTTGGAAGGATTGGTTCTATTTGAAGTCTGTAAGAAGGAAACTTTCCCATGTGTCTCCTCTAGCTTCTGATGGTTTGCTGACAGTCTTGGCCATTCCTTGTCTTGTGGAAGCATCTACTGCTTTGTCTTCATATGGCACTATACGTGTGTGTGTGTGCGCGCACGCCCAGATTTCCCCTTTTTACAAAGATACCAGTCATATTGGATTGGGGCCCACCCTACTCCAGTATAACCTCATCTTAACTAATTACATTTGTAAAGACACTATTTCCAAATTGAATCACATTCTGAGAATACTTGGGATTCAGACTTCAATATATGAACTTTTCATATAGTTCAGCCCGTAATAGAGCCTTAGTCACTGAAGAAAGGCTGGTATTTTCTAGCATGTCATAAGTACCAAATATTTATTATAAGTGATTCTTTTTATATTAACCCACTTCCTGCTGTGGATCTTATGATGTGAAGATACTAGTTTGTTAATTTGTATTTGTTAATAATCACTACATTTCATTTTTTGTTAAATATAATTATACATACACATATAGTGCCAGAGCTTCTAAATGACTGAAATGAATGCATGATAATATGCTGTAGTAAATCATTTTATTCCAAGGCTAAGAAACTGGAAATTTTTATCAGTACATTCATTCTGTCATAAGTAAATGTGTGGTTTCTATTAGGCTACCTGAAATATGAGCCTAGTCTACAGATGCTGAGTTTGCAAACCACTTATAGAGCCTTACTTTACAAATGAGGGAAAAGTGGTCCGAAAATAAGGTCTCACTGTTTTCTAGTTATAAAGCAAATTGCAACCAAAAGTGACTAGAATTTATATATTTCTTAGCCTAGAAGTTATTTTCTTGGTTTCATATTGTTAATTTTGTTTGAAGTGAGACTTTTTTAATAATATCTAAATAATGTCTTTGTAGTAATTTTGTAATGTACCATTTAGGACATTACTAGTCCTCTTTTTTACCTTTAGCAGGTCTTTCTAATAGTGATAGTGTTGTTTAATTATTAAACTTTATTTTATTAATACTGTTAAGAATTTTGAATTAGAATTTTAAAATGTTTGATGAGTTAAAAAGAGTGATTTCATTAATTGTTTCTCATTTTGTGTTTTGAAAATCTGAGACTTTGACTTCCATATTCTCATGTAACATGCAAGTCCAAATCTCTTAACACTTAATAAACTTTTTACTTTGATATTTCACTTTGATATATTTATTGGTAGCCTCAGAATCTGAATCCTTTAAATGCCAATCCAGTCTCTTCTTCACAAATAAATCCCCCATGCCATTGTTCCTCTTACTTGTAATTCTTGAATTCTTAGAAAAATCTTTAAGCACTATCTTCCCATTTTTCTTCTCATTGATAGTTTTTGAGTTCTTGGAAATTGATTTCTCTCAATCATTTCACATATACAGTGGGTTGCCAAATTGTAACTGTTTTATTTCTTATTAAAGTCTATCTTTTGCTTCCTCTTACTTTTTGCAAGGCACAGGTCTGCTTACATGTGGATTTTTTTCAGTAGGTACAGTACTGTAAATATATTTTCTTTTTCTAATTCCTTGATTATAGCAATAGCCTTTTACGTGATTACTCTGGTTCTACTTTTTAAATTCTTGCTGGTCCTTCCCAACCATTGTACTCATCTTTCTAAAATACTGTTTGTTTCATTCTCCTCCATATAGTCCAGATTCCTCAACCAAGTGCCATTATTCATTTTTTAATTTCTGGATCTCCTAGTTTGTTGTTGTTGTTTTTTTTTAAAGATTTTATTTATTTATTTGAGAGAGAGAGAATGAGAGCGAGCGAGTACATGAGAGTGGGGAGGGTCAGAGGGAGAAGCAGACTCCCTGCTGACAGCAGGGAGCCCGATGTGGGACTCGATCCCCGGACTCCAGGATCATGACCTGAGCCGAAGGCAGTCGCTTAACCAACTGAGCCACCCAGGCGCCCTGTGGATCTCCTAGTTTTTGATCCACTTTTCCTAATACCTGCTACTTGCTACACTGTCCTTCAGAGTATCAATGTTCATAGTATTTTTATTTTAGGCTTTCAACTTCATACTATTTCTCCCATTCAGTTACCTATAATGATCTGCCCTTACCATGCTATTTAAGTTTTACTAAGCTCAGTTTAGTCCTTGTCTCTTTCTGTGTTGTTCTGATATTTAGTATTTTATGGAAGTAAAATTCAGATTACAAAATAACTGTTTTAGTTTACAATTCAGTGGCATTTAGTTCATTCACATTGTGTGACTGTCATCTCTATCCAGTTACAAAACATTTTCATGAACCCAAAAGAAAACCTATGTCCATTAAATAGTCACTCCCCATTTTCTTTTCCCCTAGTCCTTGGCAACTGCTAATCTGCTTTCTGTCTCTGTTGATTTACCTATTCTGCATCTTTCTTTTGGACAGAATCCTACAATATATGACTTTTTGTGATGGCTTCTTTCTCTTGGCATAACATTTTCAAGATTCATACACAACGTAGCATGTATCAGTACTGCATTACTTTTTATGGCTAAGTAATAATTATATTTGTATGCTATTGAAAGTATTTGTAAAGTACAGTGAAAATAAGTAGGTATTCAAGATGTTAAGTGTAATTTGCAGAGTAATCACTAAGGGAAAAAACTAAAGTATATATAGCTATATAATATATAATATAATGGGTCTGTGTTATATAAATGATTGACCCTTGAATAATGCAGGGGTTGGGTGCTGACCCCCTCCCCTGGTGTAGTCCAAAATCCATGTATAACTTTTTTTTTTTTTTTTAAGAGAGGTTGGGGAGGTACGGTGGGAGAGGGGGAGAGAGACTTAAGCTGGCCCATGCCCAGTACAGAGCCTGATACAGGGCTCAATCTCACAATCCTGAGATCATGACCTGAGCCAAAATCAAGAGTCGGATGTTTAACCACTGAGCCAGCCAGGTGCCCTGCTGCTGAATTTTTTATTTCAATTATACTTTCTGCTCTAGATTTTCTATGTTTTCTTTACACAACTTCTATCTCTGATATTCTGTTTGGTGAGACATTGTTTTCCAGTTTCTTGTGTGTGTGTGTGTGTGTGTGTGTATGTGTGTAAGTTCTTTTCCATTGTTTTAGCTCTAGGAACAGATTTTTAATCCATTTATTTAAAGTCTTTGTCTAGTAAGTCCAATACCTTAGCTATCTTTCTTTTCATTATTTTCTTTCTGTGAATGGCCCATACTTAATTATTTATTGTTTTTTTGTATGCCTCCTAATTTTTTGTTGAAATTTGAGTATTTTGAATATTATAATGTGGCAGTTCTGGGAATCAGATTTATTCCCCACTACCCAGAGCTTGTTGATGTTTCTTGTTGTGGTTTGTTGTTTGTTGATTTGATGACTTCTAAACTGTTTTTGGAAAGTATAGATTCTTTGTTGTGTGTGGCCACTGAAGTTTGTGTTTCATTAGCTTAGTGGTCAGGTGATGTTCTGACAGTTAAATGGAGCATAAAAAAAAAAAGGAAGAAAGAAAAAAATACTCTCCTAATCTTTGCAGATTGGCTCTGTTGGGGCACTCCTTCAGTGCTTATTAACCAGGCCATTTACAACTTGCCCTATCCAACTTGCCTTATCCTTTACTTCCTGCTTGCATAAATGAGAGCTTAGGGTCTTTTCAGGCCATTTTGTGCTTTTTTTTTTTTTTTTTCCTGGGCATTTGCATAGTTTTCTCAATTCAAGAGCTTTTAGAGTCCCTTTTATGTCATGTGTCACCTTTCCCAACCTTTTCTTACCCAGGCTTTTCTATTTATTGCTTGTCCAAATTGTAGTTCTTTGCCCCAGACTGCTGTGCCAATACCTGTGCCTTCAAATCTTTTTAGGAAAAGCAGTCTGTGATGCTACCCCAGCCTTGGAATTACTTGAGTTGTGTGAAACAAAGGCTGGCCTGTGTGCTGATCCTTAAGTTGCCAGTGAAAATAAGGTCCATATGCTTCCTGTGGCACTAGAAGCCTATACCAGGCATTCTAACTGTCATCTTCACAGCCACTGCTGATCTGGGTGTGGGGAATAATGAATGGACAACCTAAAAGACCATAGTGCTCACTTACTGCAAAGTAGCAGCTTTATTCTTCCCTAAGTCTTCCGTTGGCTGTTCTGAGTTTTTTTAAGTAGGCTACACACCCAGTGTAGAGCCCATCATGGGGCTTGAACTCATAACCCTGAGAACAAGATGTGAGCTGAGATTAGGAGTTGGACAACAACTGAGCCACCCACATACCCCACTGTTCTGAGGTTTTTTTTTTTTTTTAAAGATTTTATTTATTTATTTGACA